ACACTCGCGCTAACACACGCTCACACACACTCTCTCTCGCTCTCACACGCACACACTCACACTCTCACATACACACTCTCTCTCACTCTCACACTCACACACACGCGCACACACACACGCTCTTACACACTCACACACCTTCAGCTTTGTGCAGCTCCAGTGCCAGCTGCTCCCGAGCTCGCTCCTCTTCTCCCAGACACTCCTGCAGCTCCTCCTGTCTGCGCTGCAGCTCCTCCATCTCCTCATTGTGTCTGAACTTCTCCCTCATCAGCTCCGTCTGTGTGATCCGCGCATGCTCCAGCTGACGGAGACACACAGACACATCATGTGCTCAATATGGTCACATAATACGGACAAACACAAATAAAACAGCTGGCATTAATCAGACTTCTGTGTCATGTAAACCTGATGCAGTATATCCACTGTAATAACAAATACTGATTTATATCTGCACACGTTCAAGAAAAAGCAAATCTAAGGAGAAACTGAAGAGTTTCTGGAGCGATTTCTGTTCTAGAAACATTAAAGAAATGAACATTCATCAATAGTACAGTACTACACAGTATTGTTCAGTCTTAAAGCAGTCTGAAAATACAGATGAAAAGCACCCTGTGTCAACAAGCTCTGAGCGTTTGATCGTCTTCATGTGGTCACACACTGATGTGAAACTGCTTCAACAAAAGCCAGGATTTCTCTGACATGACAAGCGAGCCTGATCTCGTGTGAACACAAAACACACACACAAACACACCCAGGAATCTCCTTACAGCTCAGTCAACGTGTACAACAGCTCCAGAGCCTCTTATCTAACTACACGGCCAGCGAGCGTCTATAAAACCCTTTCCAAAGGTCACACTCTTACGGTGTAGGGCGGCGTGGGCAGGGAGATCTTGGAGACCACTTTGAGCAGGTGTCCGTTGTGGCGCTGGTTGATGTGTGAGATCTGCGTCTGCACGACTACCGCGTTCTTCTCGTGAAGCAGGTGGCTGAGAGGGAAGGGTCGCGGCAGCGGGATGCGCGACTCCACCTCGTAAACATCCATGTCCCGGCTTTCCAGCCAGCCGTCGCGCAGGACGGCCGAATCCCAATACGTCCGGTAAGAATCCATGTCACCTCTAAGCGGCGTCCTGCGAGAAGTTAGAGACGCGTCTCACCGCCGTCAAGCGCAGATTCATCAGAGCGAACATCCCTGAGCTGAGCGCACGTCTCTATGGAAGTGAACACACACAGATCTCACATGGCCTGGTCAGGAAGAACCAGCTTGATGTAAATGAGCGAATCCCAGATGAACGAGTCGATCCGGAGAGGAAACTCAACTCCAACCTGTTACCAGAAACACACACACTCTCCCGTTCACTTTCCCTCGCGCTGGAAAATCATTAACAATTCCATGCTTCCGTGGCAACGGTCCTGTGGGAAAATGCAGGGCCTCGTTAACGAGCGAGAACAGAGCATAGCAGAGACTCCCTCTGCACCTCCTTCTCTCTCTCTCAGTCTCTCTGTGTCTCTCTCTTTCTCTCTCTCTGTGTGTGTGTCTCTCTCTTTCAATTCAATTCAATATGTGCTTTATTGGCATGACAATTGTTACAATGTATTGCCAAAGCATAGTGTTTACATTGAATCTAGAACAGATATATATGCAACAAAAACATGCATGTATACATTTAAAAAGTAAAACAAATTAACATTTTAGAATTCTACGAACAATTTATAATTATGGGATGTCCCCACTTTTCACAAAAACAAACCTGTGTGTGTGTGTGTGTGCGCGCGCATCACTGATTTGTTGACTCCTCCCTCTTTTAATGACAGGCATCACTGTATCTTGCTGCTAGTAAGATATAATCTTGCTTTTCACCTAATAAATATTGAAGTTGTGTTTTCTTGTTTAACATTAACACTTCCTGGTTTGTGGACGTGTGGGATACGTCGACGGTAAAGGAGGAGGTGATTTAACAGCCTGCAGGTGATTTAACACACACACACACTCCCTCACACACTCTCTCACACACACACACACCCTTTCCGAGCCTGTCCGACCAGATTCCTGCTCTATAACCGAGAACTAGACGATTTAAGCCTCATAATACATTCAAAATCTCTACTATTTTCATATTCCTGGTCTTTCTGAATTTAATTTACATTTTGTTCAACTTTTCAACCATACTGTATCTGATAAGCAACTTCTCACTAAGTGAATGAATGTTAAAAAAAAAAAAAAAAATCACAGTTTTGAATGTTACCATGTAAGTACTGTATTTAACCCTTTCCTATTAACTAAAAAATAGATAAATTCTTTGAAATGTCAAGTTACACATGAACCAGACCAAATAAAACTATTATGTAAAACACATAGATATTTTTTTCAGTATTGATGAGAAATTTGATTTAACTATACCATTGTATGAAATTTATAAAAACATATAATCTGAGAATTATCAGTATTAACCCCACTGGAATGAATGGAATTTGAATATATAACTCATGATTGCTCAAAAAACAGTCCGAATGTATAAAACCTACATATTTATTTCTAACAAAACAACATGAACGTTACTCTGAGAAGTTTTCAAACTAAATAAGTTAGTTTTACTTGCACAAACTTTCCCTTTCAGAAGAAAAAAGTCAGTTTTTTTATGCTGCAATGGCTCGTTAATATATGTACATACGTATTCATGTTCATTAACATAATTCAGTCCAAAAGTGTGTGAGATACGAGGGAAAGGTGAAATATGTTTGACACTAATATAACTTCACAGATTATTTTACGAAGTATTTTTGACACTAATGGTACTCCACACAAACCCAGGTTCAAAATGACCCAAACACGAAACATAAGATTTTTTAAATGGTTATATCTCTTAAAAAATAATTGTAAAAAATCTGAAAAAAATAAATTGTGTGTATTTTTAGGGTCTTAAAGCATCTGCAAAGTTTCGTTCCCTTCCTGAGAACTACACATTTTTTAGAAATGTTTAACTATCTTTTTCAAGTCAAAACGGACCTGACTGCATTATGAGGGTTAAAGACCACCAAGACCATTAATAATCAGGAATTAGGGCTGAACGATTTTGGAAAATAATCAAATTGCGATTTTTTTTTACCAATATTGCGATTGCGATTTAATATGCAATTAATTTTTTTTAAAGCTCTTTATGTTCTGTATTATTCAACAAAGACAAGCTATAAATCATTGTATAGTATGACCAACACAATATTATATAGATTAAACATAAATGTTCTTTTCTGTAGGCCAGGCCTATATGTTACGATGAAATTAGGTGATGCATGAATTGATATGAATGACATTTTTATTTAACAACTACAGTTTCTCTCGCCGTACTTTGATGTCATACACCGATCGATCTTCAAGTTGAGCACACCTCTTTACTCTCGCGTGTCACGTGACCGTGTAATCGCAGCCTCTGCGATTGAAAAATTGCGTTATTTCATATCGCGATATTATCGCAAATGCAATTAATCATTCAGCCCTATCAGGAATGTCCATTTGAGTGATTATTTTCTCTTCAAAGACTCCCTGATAACACCATTATTGATTAACTTCTCCTCCTACACACAAACCTCGACATAACACTTCATTCCTGAGCAAGCCATTACACGATTAACTCACGGGAAAGCCATTAAGACCTTGAAAACCAGCATCATCGCCACAAATCACTGCAAATCCCTGCTCCTGCCTGATTAAAACCCGTTTTCACTCAGATCTGTGTTCTACTGCTTTTACAGCAGCATGGCTCTGACTACATTAGATATACATGTCCATTAGTGTATCAGTGGCTTAAGAGAACTTCATCCGTTCTTTCAAAGCCTCGCTGTGTGTGCATTCCCTCATAATTCAAGTCAAACCGGATCTGAGCTGATCTAATCTTCAAATCTCTAGCTTAAAATATCAATATATCGATATAAGGCAGCCAAAATCAGCAGTCAAGATATTTGTTTGTTCATAATTGTAATAATAAACAGCTGCGGTGAGAAACATGTAAAAATAGAATGAAAGAATGAATGAATGAATGAATGAATGAATGAAACGGTCTCACTTCATTAAAAATCTTTTCATAAGAATCAACCAAAAAGTAAAGAGTTCAACAGCAGTTAAAATGGCTATATTTTAATGAGAAACGTGATAAATAGAAAAAAAAATTATTTAAAAAAAAACTAAAATACGTAAATAAATAAATAAATAAATAAAAGTTTATTTTTGAGAGTCCAAGAGTTAAAACAGCTATATTTATATTGAGAAACTTGAAAAATAGGAAGAAAACTATTAAAAAAATAATTAAATAAAAAGTTTATTTTTGAGAGACCAGCAGAGTTAAAACAGCTATTCGTAATAAGCATGTGAGAAAAAAATAAAAAAATAAAAAAATATTATATATTTGCTGATTGACTGATTAATTAATTAATGAAAGTTTATTTTGAGAGTCCGACAGGAGTTAAACAGCTATTATTGTGATGAGGTAAATGTGAAAAAACAAACAGATAAATAAATAAATAAAATATTTTATTTTTGAGAGTCCGACAGGAGTTAAAATGGCTATATTTGTGATGAGAAACGTGGAAAACATAATTAACAAACAAATAAATAAAAGTTTATTTTTGACAAAAAGCTAAGTCTGGTCTCACTTAATTACATTTTTTTTTTCATAAGAATCAACCAAGTATCATAGATTCCTAGAGGAGTTAAAACCATCGCAGTCCATCAAAATATGCTTCAGAGATAACGGCTGTTTGTTTACGTGCGCGGTGATGATCTGTATCTCTGGCAGGAAGCTCAAATAAACGATTAGGAAAGATGGTTTCGCTTTACTGCAGACGGATCCACAGTGGGGCGTGGCTACACTGCTGCCATGGAAACCAAAGCATTATGCAGATCGGTCGGTATCTACAGGCAACCGAAGTAAAAGGCCCCGCCCACAGCAGCGAACATGTGACCTGTGAGCATCCGCCGGACTCCGATGAGAGCAGCATGTGTTTAACACACACACACACACACACACACACACACACACACACACAGCACAGAACCACCCCATCCTGAGCTGCCAAAAACAGCCATACATAAAACTAAAATCAGAAAAAACACAATAAAATACACCTTAACACGAAAAGTCAAAAATTTAATTAAATTAAAATTTAAATAAATAAATAAATATATAAAATGAAATTTATAGATAAAATAAATAAAATAAAATGTACAAAAAAATTATTTTAGCTTGTTCGCAAGGCAACATTTTTCATTTTCGTTTAGTTTAGCTTTAGGTACTGATATAACTAAAACTAAATAAACCAAAACTATTGAATAAAATTAATAAAAACTATACCAACTTCAGAAAAACTAATAAAACTGCCAAAAACACATCAACATTTTTACTATAATTGAAAAAAGTTAATCTAAAAAAATTTAATCTAATTCTAAATATTAACAAAAACAGTAAAAAAATAAATAAATAAAATAAAAACCCTGCATAGAGTAATTATTTTGCACTATCATTCAAAATTTTGGGGTCGGTAAGATTTTAATGTTTCTGAAAGAGTCTCTTCTGCTCAACGGGGCTGCATTTATTTGATCAAAAATACAGTAAAAATACTGATATATTTTTAGAATGTAAAACAGCTGTTTTCTATGTGAATCTCTGTTAAACTGTAATGTATTTCTGTGATGCGCAGCTGTATTTTCAGCATCATTTCTCCAGTCTTCAGTGTCACATGATCTTCAGAAATCATTCTAATATGCTGATTTGCTGCTCAAGAAACATTTCTGATTATTAGCAATGTTGAAAACAGTTGTGCTGCACAATATTTCTGTGGAAACTGTGATGCATTTTATTTTCAGGATTCACAGATGAACAGAAAGTTCAAAAGAACAGCATTTATTTGACACAGAAATCTTTTGTAACGTTATAAACGTCTGCACGTTTTTTAACTTTGAGTGTTTCTGAACTCTTTTGTACCTGAGTGCTGGTCTCAGTGATGGCGATGAGCAGCTTCTCGATGGCGCTCTGCAGTCGTGTGCTGATGCTCAGCAGAAGCTCCTCCCTCTCCGGCGGGAGCTCCGCCCCCTGCAGCTGTAGCCCCGCCCCCTGGATCTTCAGCAAGAGCTCCAGCCCTCCGTCGCTCTCGGTCTCTGCTGAAAACAGGCTGAGGTCATCAGCAGCCGTCTCTCTGCTGAGAAAGCTCTCCGAGGACGCGTCTGTGTGCGGGACACAAGAGATGAGCCACATCAAAACAGCTTATTCCTATCAGAACTGCAGAAACCAGCAGGCCTTTATAACGTAACCCGACACTATAAAGCTTTAACCCGGTCGAGCATGTGATGTTTTTGAGAATAACACAGGACAGAGATATAACGGATTAAGATTTAATGAACTACAGATGAATGGATGCAGTGACAAAGGCATAGAGGAGACATGAATGGGTCTTTTGTGTGCTGAGTTACAGGAGCGTCCGTCTCATATTCAACCTGAGTGCATCACACCATATGAGACGATAAAGTAGATTTCATTTCAGGGTTATTATAGTTATTATGGTTTTTATAGAACACTAAAACTAAAGCAGAAACTGAAACCATTAAAAAAAAAAATGGTTACTTGAAATATACTTTTATATACGTTTTAAAAAAAACTACAGCTACTAAAAATGACAAAAACACAGCAAAATTATTAAAACTTTAACTAAAATGACAGTAAATAATAATAAATATATAAAGTATATAATAAAAACTGATTCAAAATCATCAAAAAACTATAGTAGTACCTCAATGACACTAAAAACACACCACTAAATTACTAAAAATACAAAAAAATAATAATAAATATTATTAATAAATAATAAATAATATGAAATATAAAATAAAAACCAATTCAAAATATTAATAAAAATCATTATAGTACCTCAATGACACTAAAAACACACAACAAAATTACTAAAACTAACTAAAATTACAAAAAACAATAATAAGTATTTATAAATAAATAAATAATAAAAAATAAAATAAAAACCAAATCAAAATCATAATAAAAATCATAATAGTACCTCAATGATGCTAAATGACACTAAAAACACACAACAAAATTACTGAAATTACAAAAAATAATAATAAATATTATTTATAAATAATAAATAGACATATAAAATAAAAAACAAATAAAAATAATAATAAAAATAATAATATTACCTCAATGACACTAAAAACACACAACAAAAAATTTAAATAAATAATAAGTATCATTAATAAAATATAAAATACAAACCGTCATCTGTTATTACCTCAACACACACAGGATGTCACGTCCTTCTTTAAACGTTTCTAAATCTTTTACTAAACCACATCACAACACTTCAGCTGAACACAAGCACTGCTGACATAAAGTGTGACCGACTTCTATTAATGCGACAGGACGTCGTCGTGCAGAAGAAGCCCTGATGATTTCAGATGAAGTCAAACCCGAATCAGAGATGTTACGAGTAGTGTGTGTTAATGTGTGTCTGACCTGATGCTTTCACGGTCTGCTTCTGGCAGAACGATCTCAGACGACCCTCGCTGGATGCCTCCAGGATGCCCTGCACATGACGGCCGATGGTCTCCTCCGCCGCCGCCGTCGTCTTCAGCACATCGATCAGTGCCTGACGCAGACGAGCGTTCGCCTGACGCAGCACATCCCTGCCAGAGAACCGGAAACACACAACTTACTGACCTGACCGCTGAGACACATCTGTCTGACTAAACTGGGCTTCATGAGTTTATAAAAAGCTAAAAAGGAATTAAATCATAAAAATCAAAAAAAAAAAAAAAACAAATCTAAAAAAAAAAAACCACTTACTAAATCTTCTTAAATCATAAAAAAGTAAAATTCAAATAAATACTTAAAAAATAAAAACAAATTAAAATAAAACTTAACTAAAAAATAAAAAATTTAAATAACAGTTGCAACGTATTATTACATCATAAAACGCAAAATTAAAATAATCTTAAAATAAAAACAAATAAAAATGTACAAAAAATTAATTAAATAAAAATGTAAAACTAAAATATCTTTTAAAATAAAAACGAAACAAAATAAAATACTAAAAATAAAATTAAATCATAAAAATTTAAAAAATAAAATAAAATCAAAATAACACTTACTAAATCTTATTAAATCATAAAAAGTACAATTAAAATAAATACTTTTAAAATAAAAACAAATTAAAATAAAACTTAAAAAAATTAATAATGAAAAAAATTTTAATAACAGTTGCAAAGTATTATTACATCATAAAACATAAAATTTAAATAATCTTAAAATAAAAACAAATCAAAATAAAATTGACTAAAAATTAAATAAAAATGTAAAACTAAAATATATTTTAAAATAAAAACGAAACAAAATAAAATACTAAAAGTGAATTAAATCAGAAAAATGTCAAATAAGTACAAAATAAGTAAATAAATATTTTACGATAAAAACTAATTGAAATTAAACTTACTAAAAATAAAATTAAATCATAAAAATGTAAAATTAAAATAAATATTTTTAATGTAAAATAATGTAAAAAATTAAAAACAGTTGCAAAGTATTATTACATCATAAAAAGTAAAATTAAAATAATCTTAAATAAAAATAAAACAAAATAAAATACTACAAATTATTCAAATCAGAAAAAATTTAAAATAAGTAGAAAATAAGTAAATAAATATTTTTTTAAATAAAAACAAATCATAAGATCATAGATCTATCTATCCGTCTGTCTGTCTATCTGTCTATCCATCTGTCTGTCTCTCTATCCTATCCATCTATCCGTCTGTCTGTCTATCTGTCTATCCATCTGTCTGTCTCTCTATCCTATCCATCTATCCGTCTGTCTGTCTATCTGTCTATCCATCTGTCTGTCTCTCTATCCTATCCATCTATCCGTCTGTCTGTCTATCTGTCTATCCATCTGTCTGTCTCTCTATCCTATCCATCTATCCGTCTGTCTGTCTGTCTGTCTGTCTATCCTATCTATCTATCTATCTATCTATCTATCTG